GTCTGAGTCTATAGCAGCAGAAATGAAGAATAACTCAGGAAACCAAAGTCTAACTATAGGATTTATTAAAAAGGAAAGTCTTCAGTCTAATCTTAAAAGTAGACATTAGTAGAGTTATGACATGATTAACAGTAGAGGATTTCCAGAAATTAAATTAAGTTTAAAACCAACTGCTAAGAATGGTTTTTTACTGTATTTGACAAAATGGCAGTTAGATATAGATAAAACAATTGGTCTATTATCAATATTTGAATACTTCAACCAAAAATACTTTTGATTCATGAGTTTCTGCTACAATTTTATGTTTTTGTCATTTTTGTGTTTATTATGAAATTRGTCTTAAATCTGATTTAAGTTGGCATTAAAAAGTCTTAAATTGAACTTGCTTTAAACTGTAGGAACCCTGAACTAGCCAATCAGTGTTTACGCTTGAGAAACGCCTACTTTGAGTCTGCAGAGAACCCCGTCACCATTTGGGGCTGACGCCTGGGGTGGCTAATCAGATGGCACTTGCAAACCTGCCACCCCTCTGGCTCCGTCCCTGACAGTGCATGCAGGTTTTTGAACTTTCACTGCTTTTTAACTTATCTTTYTAGTCCTTGACCATTTTCAGAGCAAGTTTATAAGTTGCTAGACTCTGTAATGTGAATCATGTAGGGATTAAAAACACAGGTGGGTTTTTTTTAATTATTTTTAGAAAAATCTTGAAAGTTCTAAACTTTTTAAGCCCCCTCTGAGGTTTCCCACATACTACTGATGACTGGTATCACACTTGTCTGATTTTCCCATGAGTCTGGACCTTAGAACAATGTTTGAACTACACATGACTTTTGAACTCAGGGGAGTCCAACTCATTTAAAAAAGGGACAAAAACACTAGCTACGTTTACATGGACAGAAGTAATCGGATTAAAAAGCCGTTCAGAATAAAAATGCATCATGTAAACAGCCTGTTCAGATTATTCTGATCTGATTGAGCTCGATCCGAATAAATTTTTAATCCGAATGAGTCGGGTGGGTAATGTCGATTGATAATCGGAATGACGTTCATGTAAACACTTAATCGGATCATCTTATTCTGATTGTAGAAAACTGACCTGTGCGCGTATGTCTGCTGACATTCATTCACTTGGTTAGAGGAGGTGGGACAGCAGCGCTCCAGCTGCGCTGCACACTGCAGAACTTTTCCTCCTCGCTCTCTTAACAGATGAAAAAGGAAACAAACAGCAGACGTTGCTTCGCAAAAAATAAAAATAAAAAGCACGTATTGCTTCATCTGCAGGCTGCAGCTCAACCGAGGAGTAATGGCATCTCTACCGTTATTAAAAGCTGACACAGGTCTGTCCTGAGCGCACAGAGGAGCTTTGTTTACATTAACACAGAAGTAGAGCTGAAAGTTTACAACACTGCACATGTCCGGACTTTTATTCTAAATAAAACTCCGGTGCATGTAAACACTTTACATGATCAGATTGCGTCCATGTAAACAGTACATTCGGATTATTTTATCTGAATACATTTCAATCAGATCAAAAAATTTTGTGCTTGTAAACATAGCTAATGTCTACCTCTGCACAGAAATGATTAAAATAAATATTATGGTTGTCTTATTCAGGGGATTATTAAACACATGGTTTCTGTCTTCAGGTTCAAAGCAGTTGCATCTAAAAGTAAACTTGACCTGGTTAACGAAGGCTTCACTGAGTTCACTATTGAGGACTTCCACAACACTGTGAGTTTAATGAGGTCAGCTGGTTTTCACTGAGGTCCTTCTAACTGGGATTAAAACTCTGTTTTTTTAATGTCCTGTAGTTTATGGACTTGATCGAACTCTGCGAGAAACAGCCGAGCCTGCAGGAGCTGCTGAGCTCTTTCAACGACCAGAATGTGTCCGACTACGTGGTGGTCTACCTGCGACTCCTCACCTCAGGGTACCTGCAGAGGGAGCACGGCTTCTTTCAGCATTTCATCGAGGGGGGRCGGTCCGTCAAGGAGTTCTGTCAGCAGGTAGGTCGTTTTTGAACGTTTGGGCATTGAGTATAGAGTTGTTGGACAGATGGTCATTGACTGGTAGAACGTCTAAGCGTGTATATTGTTTTGTTCTCCTAGGAAGTAGAGCCCATGTCCAAAGAAAGTGACCACATTCACATCATCGCCTTAGCTCAGGCTTTGGACGTCTCCATCCTGGTGGAGTACATGGACAGAGGCGAAGGAGGAACTGTCAATCACCACGTCTTCCCTGAAGGYGGAGACCCCCGCATCTTCCTGCTCTACAGACCGGGCCACTATGACATCTTGTACAAATAACACTCCTGGTCACTTCATCCTCCTCCCCGCTGTGCTCTGCAGCGGTGCATTCAGATTAACGTCAGCAGCCACGCTGGTGATGCATACATGTTGTATGAGACGATAACTCATTTATTTGGAAAAATAAAAAAAAAAATAAAAAAACACAAAATCACATTATTTCACCCCCTCTTGCTCCAAGACCCCAGGTTCACCATCAGTCGTCACAAAATGGTTTAAAAAAWTTGTTGGAAATCTAGAAGTGACTCCAGCCGTTTAGAGTTGTACAGTTTTTTTTCTTCTTTTTTTGTRGTTGTAAATGTTTATCTACTTGCTTCGTTTGATTCTCTTCCTTTGTTACACTGCGTTTCATTGAGTTTTATTAAAGCGATTTACATCTTATGGGTTTTGTCATGCCGTTTCTCACTCAAGCATCTCAGAGTTATCAGTTTCTTCTAGCTCATGATGAGTGGGCCAAGCTCAGTAATTTAAAATATAAGGTTTAGAGTAAGTTTAGGAKGAAATAACGTATATTTGCTGTAGTGGACCAGTTGAACTGAATTGACCTTTTGTCTGTTACTAATAGGTATGCTCAAATTCAGTATTTTGAGATGAATTGTGGTCTYGATATACACATGCCTACTTCTATTTGTTTAAATAGTCTGAACTGTTCATATCTACCCATGTTTCAGCTGTGCTCTGCAGTCATTACAGTGCATACTACTAACATAAAATACCAACATAACTCATTTATAAATACGTTTGTTTATGAAAGTCAATTAAAAAACGGGTGTAAAAGACTTAAAATTGCAGAGATATCTGCCTTTGAATACCTGAAATCGCTATGAATTTATTTAAGCACGTGATATCCAATTTACGCATGCGCATCAGTAACAGCAACATCCTATATAAAGGTAAAGATGCATTCTCGTTCACGTTTTTACCGAACCACCGTGTTACAGTAGTTCGTAGAAAGAGATGTGGTCAGAGTGAGAGGTCTGTCTAATATTGCAGCTACAGCAAAAGCCAAAATGTTTCCGTTGACCAAGTTACTAGCTCGGACCGGCAGACAGATATTTATATTTACCAGGAGTGTAAGGCACCATTCGTCTMTAACAGGTACCATCAAAGTTATCCCGAGTCAGGATGACTTGAAGCTTATTTTGCAGTAACGCGCGTAGCGATGTTAATAGTGTTGTTATTATCTAGCTAAGCTAATACAGTGAAGTGATTTAAAAAAGCTTATTAGCTATTTTCTCTAAATTTTCAGTAAAATTTTGCATGAACTAGATAGTAAGTTAACCTACTATTGATTGGATGATACCATTTATAACAATCTGATGTTGTCTGATGTGCTTTTAGAGAGTCTGAAAATGATTATTCTCTGTCATAGTTTGACCATTAGTGTCTATTTTATTTTGCATTGCAGTTCTTCAGATCATTATCAACACAGAGCTGATTATTACAGCAAGACTGAGCCCTGCCTATCCTGCCCACTGCTTGTACAGCAGGTAAAATAAGTATTGAACACGTCACCATTTTTCTCAGTAAATATATTAC